TAACGGGGTTTTTTTGATTTTGTTTCTGTGTTGCAGGCCTGAAGGAACCCCATTTGAGGATGGTAAGAGTTTTTATACCAGTCTTCTAGGAAGCTGTTCTGTCATCAGCAAGCGCCCCCTCTGCTTAACGAACCTGCCTTGCCTTTTTCCTATTGAAAGCTTGAGTGAAATCTAGTGTGTGGTGGGTTCTGGGGAGGCTTATGCTTAACCAGAACTGCACTTTTTCTGTCGCTTTCCTCCATTGAAAACATTCTAGGGAAAAGTCACTTTGTAAAAGAACTGCCACAGCACTGGCATTAAGGATTTGGAGGTTTGAGCAAGGGGCCTGCTAAATTCAGCCCCCATGGAAGTAATTCAGTACGAAACCAGTCCACCAGAGACCATCTGGTCTGGTATTCATTCCATCCCAAGGGCAAGAATTTGTTCATCAGTGCTTAGTGTGCGCTTTGTTGAGTGCTGACTGGATGCAAGATTCTCTGACACACAATTACCTGGCGTCTACAGCACGACATAGAAGGCACAGCAGCCTCACTGTCTTAAGGATGCTCTTAAATGCCTAATATATATTACATATAGTATGTTATATGTAATATATACTACAACAGTATAATGTTGTTCCTGGATTTGAAATTCATTTACAGAGTGTGCTTTTATTAGGATCTCTGATTAGCAATTTTAAAGTGGTTTTAGAACTGAGATTTGCCTTACAGTTGTACCCCTTTGGCCAGTGTCCAGCATACTTGAATGCCTACTTTGTATCAAGAGGTGTATAACTTTTAAACAATTTACGTTTAACTTCTAAAAACCCACATTAACTGCTCTCCAAAAACTTTATATTTTCAATGCCGTCATGGTGTCCTATGCACTTGTAAGGCAGAGGAGGAGGTAGAGGCAGGTTAATTCAAGAATGCTCTAGCCTACTAGTTCCAGGCCAGCCCAGGGATACATAGCAGAAACCTTGTCTCAAAAGATAAAGCAACAAAGAAAAAAAACCCTTGTATTTTGACATAGTTACAGATGCCTGTGGAGTTGAAATACTATAACAAGTGCTTGTGAACTCTTCACTTACCCACTTCCGTGCACCCTCCCATATTTGGTCATCTCTTGAATGACTGACTGTACTACAATATCACAGTCAGAATTGATAGCGATAGTTTTTTTTTTTGGGGGGGGGCGGTTGTTTTGTTTTTCAAGACAGGGTTTCTCTTTGTAGCTTTGTAGACCAGGCTGGCCATGACCTCACAGAGATCCTCCTGCCTCTGCCTCCCAAGTGCTGGGATTAGAGGTGTGTGCTACCACTGCCCAGCTAGTTATACAGTTTTATAGGCAGACCATTGTGTGTGTGTGTGTGTGTGTGTTCAGTTCACCCAGTTAGTGATACAGTTTTATAGGCAGACCATTGTGTGTTTAGTTTTTTGGGTCTTTTAAAGTTTAATTCATTTAAAGGATGATTAAAACTATTTGAGTTCATGGGATTTTTTAGTGTTTGGGCTACTAAAAAATAACCTTTCTGTAATTTTTTCTCAATGACTTTCTTTAGTAACATATGCATGTGCACACACACATAGACAAAGACACCTTTTAGTTTAAAGGTGACAACCAAAATATTTCATCATTTTTCCAAGACGGTTTCTCTGTGTCCTGGAACTGTCCTGGAACTTGATCAGGCTGGCCTTGAACTCAGAGATCTGTCTGCCTCTGCCTCCTGAGTGCTGGTATTAAAGGAGTGTGCCACCATTGCCTGGCCCATTACTGCTAGTAACAAAATGCTGTGAAGTAAGTCAAGATAAGCCCATTCTATAATTTGTCCCAAACACTAAGACACCCTTAGGAAACCATGGATAGTCAACAAGTTACTTTTAGCTTTCTCTCTACCTCACTGACTAGGTAATTGCTGCTGCTGTTTCATGCTGCAATAAAAAGAAAGAAATGACATAAGAGAGAGTGATGTTAGGACATACTACTTTGGTAAATTTAATATAAGAGCTAGCCAGGCTTTTCTCTACTAGATTGGTACTATTTTTGTTACTGTTTTGAGACAGGTTTTCTCTATGTAGCTCTGGCATCCTGGAACTCACTCTGTAGACCAGGCTGGCCTTGATCTCACAGAGATCCACCTGCCTCTGCCTCCTGAGTGCTGGGATTAAAGGCATGCGCCACCACCTGCCTGGTGCTAATTCTTTATATGTCAGCTTTCTTTGTAGACCAGTTGTTCTCAACCTTCCTAATGCTTCTGCTCTTTAATACAGTTCCTCATCTTGTAGTGACTACCAACCATAAAGTTATTTTTGTTGCTACTTCATAACTGCAATTTGCCACTGTTATGAATCATAATGCAAATATCTGTATTTTTTGATAGTCTTATGTGACCTTTGTGAGAGGGTCATTTGATTTCCCCCACAAGGGGTCATGACCCACAGGTAGAGAACATTGGTGTGATTAATTTCATTGCCCCCCTTCCTCAGATTTTTATCCTAGGCACAGCTTATTCATAGCACATCATTTTGCTAGAGGCTGGCTACTTAAAATTTCAAGGGTGCTCCTGATATTTAAAGTAGTATGAATTGAAAAGGTACTTGTGGAATCCATTATCTACCTGGACTGTTGCCTTTAACATTACTGGCTTTGTTTTGTATAGCGATCTCTAACCTGGCATTCATGAAAGGAGTTAAGCTAAATGTCAGTACCCATCTTTGATTCTGTCGAACAGGCTAGTATATGTGGATGCTTACTCCGGTGTTTAGAGCTCTGACATGCAGAAGCAAATTCTGAGCATTGTTTTTCATTACTCTTAATTACATTTGGAGAATTTATAATTATGGAAGAGATTCAATAGAGATAAATAACAGCTGATTCTGCTGTCTCCAATGTGTTTCCAAATTAAAAGCCCTCACACAACTTTTTATTCCTTGGTACATGTTTCTGAACTGGGTCCTAGTTAAAAAGGAAATCCTGAGAAAAAGAATTCTTAAAGGCAGTTTGCTTTAGCTTCACATATTTAAGATGAGATAAATATATTCTAGAAAACTTATACTACCAGAACATTGTAGTTATGGGATATATTCCTTCTCATATCCAAAATTAGTTTTTATGGTATATGTGACCTTAAAAATTTGAGGGTATGTACCTTTTATAAAAGGTTTCTTTAAGTCATCAAAAAATTTTTAAGTACATAGAATTTTGCTTTTTTTCTCCAGGCTCCTAAGTTTCTTCTCAAATGACAAGAAACAGGAGCAGAAATTTTTCTTTGACTAACAGGATTTGCTTGCTTGCTTGCTTCCTTGCTTCCTTCCTCCCTTCCTTCCTTCCTTTGTGTGTCTAACTTTTTTGTTTTGTGTTATTTGTTGTTTTTTGAGACAGGGTCTTTTGTAGTCTAGGCTGGCCTCAAATTAAATATGTAGCTGAGGATGACCAGAGTGGCCTGAGAAGTTCCTGATCTTCTTGCCCCCCCCCCCAGTTCTGGGATTAGAGGTTTTTGTGCCTCATAGGCCTGACTCTTAACATTGAATCTATGTTATATCTTTAGGCAGAACATATACTTTTTAATTCAACCATGTTAGTCTTTATTGCCATATATTAGACATTTACCACATTTATATATTTTTCCTGGCCTCCATGTTTATTTGTATTGGTATTAAAAATGTTTTGGCCTCTTTAGGAAGATGAAAAAATCAGTAAAAATCAGTAGAATTGTGCATAATGATGATCTTTCATTATTTTGGAGCCTAGCCCTCTGAAGGTGAGCTCTAGTGTAAAATTGTCTAATAGCCTATGATTTTTTAATTGTGTTAACATTTGTTTAGATCTCACAAATTGCAATTGAGGGTTCTACTGAAGAGGTTCTGCTTATTTAATGTAATTGAAAGGAATGTATACATTGAATAAGATTTGAGTAAGTCTTAATTTATGAATCAAGTAAACATAAACAGGTTCTTTGGCTTCTGAATATATCTAAAGAAGTTTTTACAAAGACTGGATCCAGTTAGGCAGAGGGCTCCAGCCAAGGAATTTGAAGTGGCTGCATAATACTCAACTTATGAATATATGAATATATGTTTGCTCTGTGACAGGAAATTAGTGCTGCTTAAAAACTGAATTTACTTGTGTGTTTCTGATTGGTAGTATAGTTCAGAGTTCGGATTTTTCTTTCATTCAGCCAGGTCTACATATGGGAGGCAGAATTATAGCTAAAGTAAATGTTCATTTATGGAGAATTTTGAAGAACTATACACATTTAAACTTCACAACACTGTAGTGGTTGACACTATTAGCTTTATTTTGCACATGAAAACTTGAGGTCTAGTCAAACACAGCACCAAAGATGTAAAACACCAAAGTGTTTTACCCCATATCTGTGTACCATGTTTGTGCCTATTGCCCTTGGAGGCTAGAAAAGGGCATGGGACCCCCTGAGCTTCCAGGGGTGTGTTGGGAACATAGCCCTGAGCTTTTATTCTTAAACCCATTGTGTTTTTGCAGTTGCTTCCCCTGTATATTGTTTTGCCCCCTTTGGGAACCACATTTAGTGATGGTTTAGTTGAGGGTGGCTGGGGTATCTGTGTGCTGTTAAGCCTATCCAGTTTTAGAGCAGTTTCTTGGTCATAAATCCATTACCTATAATTTAGTGAGATATCATTACTAATCCAGTTTTCTGTTTATACATAAGAGAATTCTAAGTGTTGAATATGGCCTGCCATTTCCACTTTTCATGCATTTCATAGTCACTAATATTGAAAATGAAGGACTATGTGTTACTTCTCAAGAAGATTGCTTGGTATGGTAGAATATACCTTAACTCCCAGCACTCAGGGGCAGAGGCAGATGAGTCTTTTATGAGTTCAAGACCAGCGGGTCTACATAGGGAGATCCAGGGCAGCCAGGACTACATAGAGAGGCCCTATCTCAAATAACAAAAAGGAAAATTTGTAAGCAGGAGATGATGAGAATGAAGTATGTATGCTCTGATGCCTGTAGTATGCCCATTCCTTACTGTTTTGCTTCCTTAAGCTTCGTTATATAGTATTTACATATGGTCTTCAAAAGAAAACAGTTTCTAGAGTAACAGTAGTTTGGGGAATGTACTTTTCCAGTTACATTTCATTTACTTCTATTTTTGTTGTGCTGTGGATGTAACCGAGGGCCTGGACCAAGCTAAACAAAATGCTCTTATTGAGTTACACTCCCAGGCCCATATTTCCATTAAAAAAGCAATTCTTTCCTTCCTTCCTTCTTTCCTTTCTTCCTTTCTTTCCCTTCTTTCTTTGTGTGTGTGAGGACTTTGTAGCATCTCTTTTCTTTTTACATTTATTTTCTGTATGCCTGTGGGTATATATGTGGAAATCACAGGACAACTTGGTAGGAGTCAGTTCTCACCTCACTTATTCTGGGAATCAAACACAAGTTGTCAAAGTTAGTGGCAAATGTCTTTACCTATTTAGCCATCTTGCTACCCCCCATATCATATTTTAAATTATTCTAGAATTTTGTGACACATTCATAGTAAGTTAAGCTTGGTAGTAGAAAATCAAATTTTTGATGTTGTTATGTGTCAGATATAGCAGTAGAAAGATTGTAGTATTTTCTCTTAAGTAGGAATAAACCTATTAATGAGAGCCAACAGGAAATAAATTGCTAGCTCTAAAGGAATTGGTAATAAGTTATACTCTAAGGTGTAGGCTACTTCATATTAACAAGCAATTTCTTAAATGGGCCATAGTAATGCACATGCATACTAACCAGGTAACTGATTGATTTATATTATGACAGATTTATATGCATGCCAGAGTAGAAGTCTGAAGCCACGTTCTCGGAACTTGTTCTTTCTACCTTTATCTAGTTTTCAGGGATGCTGCTTGGCAAGCACATGGCCATCTCATTAGGCTCCATACTGATTCTTGAGTTTACTTAAATAGATTTCAGTAAGAAAAAAGCCCAATTGCTTTCTTAAATCTAAGAATCACAATTAAAAATCACACTTCAAAGGATGTACTCTCCACATAAGAACTGCTTACAATTCTTGAATGATACCCAGAATGCCTATAAGTTAGTATGTTTTAGGGCCACCAGCTAACCTTAGGTTGGCACATATTTCTAAAAGTCATTTCTTTCTAATACGAGTAACCTAAACAAGTATCATTAAGAGAAATTTGTAGAAACCGTTAATGCCATCTAAACCAAATATAATTTTAAATTATTTTTGTTATTCCCTCCATTAGTGTGAATGATTGCATTGACATTTTACTGAAGTACTTCATGAGTCAAACAACTTAAGGGTTTTGAAAGGCACTGTGAAGTTTCTTCTGGCTTAAATTCAATTAAATTTTTATCATAATCACTATTACATGAAAAGAAACCAATGAACTTTTTTTCTATCTTCCATTTTATTTATTTACTCAATTATGGATTTGCATTTCTAGCAATGGTTTTGGAACCTTTTTGTCTTAGTCTATTGGAGACTATTAGAGAATTTTAAGCTAATGGCTGATTGCAATAGGCCTTTGAGGTTTTGAGGGATACTGGAGGTTAAAACTAGGGTCCCCGGCATGCTAGGCAAGTGCACTCCCACTGAACTGTATCACTAGTCACAAGTTCTTTTTAGTCTAAAGGAAGAAGGTCAAATTTGGGGCTCAGTACCTTGTGTTTTGAAGGATATTTTCAAAGTGCATAGTGACTGTCATACAGCAAACAGCAATTTTACTTATGGTGACTGTCTTTATGTTTGTAGAGTAATGAGAAAATAACTAAATCACATCTGGGTGTTAGTTCTTAGAACAGTTCCCAGAGATGTGTTTCTTAACTAGTCTCCTCTCTATACTATATCTGTCTTTATGCTGTCTCATTTAATAATTGAAAAAAAAACCTCAAGTACATGTGAAAAAAAAACAAAGTTATAAATAAAATTTCCTACCCCTCCTTTTTAACTACAGGAACATTTAAACTTACAATTGAATTTACTGAAGAATATCCGAATAAACCACCTACTGTTAGATTTGTCTCTAAGATGTTCCATCCTAATGGCAAGTATTTTATCTATCTGTCTGTCTGTCTGTCTGTCTGTCTGTCTTTCTATCTATCTATTTTTGGTTTTTTGAGACAATGTTGCTCTGTGTAACAGCCCTGGCTGTTCTGGAATTCATTCTGTAAACCAGGCTGGCCTCAAACTCACAGAGATCCCTCTGCCTCTGCCTCCTGAGTGCTGGGATTAAAGGTGTGCACTACCAGTGCCTGCTTTTTTGTTGTTGTTTGTTGTTTTTGTTGCTCTTTTTTGATGGCAAGTATTTTAAATACATGGTCTTATAAGGTCCTATAATGCTTTTTACAGTGATATTCCAAATGCTGTTGTTGTTTATGTGAAGTACTTGTGAGTATTCTGCTTAGGTATCTTCCTGTCTCTGGAAGTTGTTCATGTTCTTTTACTGTCTTGATGTATAGTCCTAGAAATGCAAGAGGATGGTACCATCCTTTGCTTGGAGTCTTAACGGTCTGCTGGCTTTATGACCTTTGGTACTTATTAAGCGAAAATAAGGATGCTTTTGGGAGTTCTGTTTAATGACAGGCCAAATTAGGGTAACTGTGTATTGTAATTATTTCACTAGCACTCAGAAAGATATTTTTCAACTTCAGGTGCAGATCAGAATTACCATGGAACATTTTGAATACATAGATTCTGTGGTCCCACCCTAGACCCACTAAACACAAGAGTCTGTAAAGGTCCTAGCACAGTTTGTTAGAAAAGTGCTACTACCAGTCTACAGGATTCTTTTCCTTTTTTCTAATAATGATATTTTTTCAGGGTGTTAAGACTTTCACTTTTATAAATTAAAAAAAGAACTTTCATTTTTATGCCAAAATAAAACTTTGTAAATATTAAGCTGTTATTATTACAAATAGGACATATAGCTTTCAGATTTGGTGGGATGAATTTCCCACAAATCTATGGAAGGATACCCACTGAAATTGTGTATGACATGCTGAACAGGAAGACAGTTTCTTCAGAGTAAGCACTGTTATTTCCTGATCACCGCATTCCCCTAGTAGTGATTATGACACCTCATTGTTTTTTTGTTTGTTTGTTTGTTTGTTTTTAGTTTTTCGAGACAGGGTTTCTCTGTGTAGCTTTGGAGCCTATCCTGGCACTCGCTCTGGAGACCACGCTGGCCTCGCACTCACAGAGATCTGCCTGCCTCTGCCTCCCGAGTGCTGGGATTAAAGGCATGTGCCACCAACACCTGGCTCGATTATGATACCTCTTAATTAGGAAACTTTTAAACTTCAAAAGCATTCTTGAGCATGTTTGTCTTGAATATGCTTAAACTTTAGTAGTCTTGTGTTTAACATACCTACTTCTGTGTTCTTAAGTCTACGCAGATGGTAGTATATGTCTGGATATACTTCAGAACCGCTGGAGCCCAACCTATGATGTATCTTCCATTTTAACATCCATCCAGGTGATTTTTTTCTCTTTAATGTGATTAATGAACATTGATGTTATTAAATTAGTGATTATTTTTACCTTTTATATTTTGGGACCCATTTATTATATAAGGGAGTCGACCATTAAAATACAAGTCACCAGGAAATATGTGTATGTGCATGTAGATTTGCATGAGCTAGTTGCAGTTAATTTAGTATGTGGAAGATAGAAAAATTAACTATTATTTGGGACAGCTGTATTGTCACCAACTGATAAAAAGCTGTTTGTTCTCAACAATTTTTTTGTCTTGTTGCATTAAAGAACTGACATTTTTATCTTTTTTTCTCTGTAGTCTCTATTGGATGAACCTAATCCCAATAGTCCAGCGAACAGCCAGGCTGCCCAGCTGTATCAGGAGAACAAGCGGGAATATGAAAAGCGCGTTTCTGCAATAGTAGAACAAAGCTGGCGTGACTGTTGACTCAGGAAAGAGCAAGTTGACCATAAGAAAAATGTATATTGATGCATTTATCAACTTCTTATTCCTAATTCATTACATTTACTTTATTAAAACAAAATAGCTGTTGTGCTGTTTCTGTCTTCCCTTGCCAATTTTTTCTTCCCCTTTCTGTCCTCCTCAAATGGAACATCAGAGATACCATTTGAAATCCAATGTACTGTATACCTGGGTTACTTGCAAACATTACTACTGCATATGTCCCTTTGTTGTATCTCATCTCCAACCTCCAGCCAGTTATGAGGTTACTGTACGTTTTATAGTAAGGTTTTAAGATGAACTGTTATGTATAGTCAGGTAACCAGGATGTTATCTGTAAAAAAAAAAATGATTGCTGTGTTTCATCCTGGCCAGTTCTTCCCTTGTGTTCAATTTGGCAAACAATGTATTTAGAATATGACCTAAAGAAAACAGGAATGCATCCACGTAAACATTATTTTAAAAGGGAAGGAAAATTGAAAAATCCTATACTCAATTTGTAAGCAATATGAATTACAAGATGGCACTTATTGGTAGCAAGGAGACTGCTAAAGGACCCAGCTAACAAATTGAAACAATTTTAATAACTGACATACTTCACTTTTTGCAAGATAGTCATAGAGCAAATCCATGTTTCAGAATCATGGCCTTCAGAGCTGTGTGCTTTTTAAAGAGGTGTGAGAACAGACTAGAAGCTATCATTTTTCTAAGTTAAGAAAAACTGAAGATCCTCTAATATTTTTAAAGGAACAGTGTTGACCTAAATAAACATTTCTTTTTATGATTCAAGGAAGTGAGCCTATCTCTAGCAAACTTTTCTCATTCAGATCCTGAGTTATTGCTGCATGCTTTCAGTGTTTTGAGAACCTTAATGCCCACATCTGCAATTTTTCTTTGTATATTTACACTTTTAAATATACAGTATGGGGCAAGGCTTGTAAATGTTTTGTCTAATATATTTTAATTGTTAATCTTTTATGCATTTATAGCACTTCTAACTTTGCACAAGTAACCCATGTAAAAACTGTACATTTTCAAAAGTTGTAAATAAAAAATAACCTTAAAATTTAGTTCACACTTTTATTAACTTTTTTAGGGATTTCCTATCTACTTATTGTCCCTTTTAAAAATAAGTACAACAAAAGCAAAAAACTGCTTTCTGGAAATAGACAGCCAGTAATGTTCGAAAACCTTTTTTCAACTATTCAGTTAGTGTTAATGCTTTTCAAACATTTTGACATAAGTTATTAATTCAGTATACTTTGTAGGCAATAAAGAATGAAATGATAGATATTTTACTAGTATCCTCAGAGACTACACTTCAATTTGTTTATCTTGACAATCCACCTCTTAAAAACCCTCTCATTAGTGGGGCGTGTTTGTATAGGCCTCTAATTCCAGCATCTGGGAGGCAGAGGCAGATGGATCTCTCAAGTTTGAGGCCAGCCTGATCTACAGAACAAGTTCCAGGCCAGGCAGTAACACAATGAGACTCCCATCTCAAAGGAAAATAATGGGGAGGTGGGAGACAATTTGAAAGACAGCTCAGTGGTTAAGAACACTTGCTCTTTTTCCAGAGGAACCCGTTTCAGTTCACAGGACCCACAGTGGGTTGCTCACAACCGCTGTAACTCCAATACTAGGGGAATCTGATGCCCTCTTCTGGCCTCCATGGGTATTGCACTCAGATGGTGCACAAACGTACACTCAGGCACACAGAACATGCATAAAAATGAGTAAACCCCCAATACTACAAATTTTATATAAAATGTTTAAATTCTGTGTAAGCTTATGAGTGCAAGTGTCCTCTGACATCATGTTGAAATGCAAGTAAGGTCTCCTCTGAGAAGCAACCTATCTCATTTTAATATGACAATGACATGCTATGTTTTGTTAATAGTTGGGAGGAAAAGATTCATGCACCCCAGTCATCCTTGAAGGGTACCTAAAACTCATTGTGGGAGAGTTCAATCTACACTATTAAATACCACATTAATTGCATTGTTCCACTTAGGAGTGATGTCCTCAAATACTTAGTATTTCCCTTTAAAGTCCATTTCTGTTTCAAAATAGAACCCCATCAATTTTTTTGTTTGGTGTTTGAATTTACTTTTTCCACCCTGTTTTGGCTGGGCACCTTAAATATTGATACTGTTAATATTTGAACAATTTAGGATGAGACTGGGAACAGGCTGATTTAGTAACATTTTATTTTGTACACTTCCTGAGAAACACCATTTCCAATTTCTCATGGGACAATCCTTTTACAAACTTAACAATTGAAGCTGACATAGACATAGCCACAGCTACCTAGACTCTCTCAGTAGAACATTTCATACAAGTTACTCTTTTTTTCTTTACAATTTTTAACACAGCCTGCCTTGTCTGCAAGTAATCACAAGAACATTAAAGCAGATTTGCAAGGTGCCTTTTGAGATCCAAATTTTCAATTCTGCACCTGCTTATTTGAGGATGGGGATATGCAGAAGAACCAAAGTTGTAATTAGAGTCCTTTATTTAGGACCCACTTCAAGGATTACTCATAGCAAAGTAAACATATTGAATACTACTAGTAAAGAAAAAAAGCACCCCAATGGAATGTATGATATTTCCATTCACTTTTGCAATCAAGGGTGGGAGGTGTGTGTTAAAAAATGGCTCTGTAATCACAAGCACATATGTATCTACAGTTTCCAGCTTATCATATTCGATTGGAAGCACTCATATTCTGTTCGGTTTTATAGCAAAGTTCTGGGCTAAAACTGACTTCTATTTCTAAGAAAAGGAAAATTCAAGGTCAAATAAAGGGAAAACTGGAAAATGGAACAGCAAGGTTGTCAGCAGCTCATTCCTGTCAATCTGATTTCTCCACATTATTCTCAGGCAGTTAGTGACTCTGCCTTATTTCCATACTAATCCTAAAGCTGCTCTACTAAGTTATCTGGCTCACCAAAATCAGGAACCCAATTCCTATATTCTTTACCCAATTATCACAGAGCCTTAACTGTAACTAATCTGTTCCATTAGGCTTTTTATGAACAAATCTGACTTCTGATTTTCCTCCAAAACAAAAACCAAAAAACCAACAAAAATCATTTTGGAAGACATGTAAAGACAGAAGCAAACCAAGTATTTGCAACTTGCAATCTCTAAAAACCATCTCTGGTCACCCAGAGAACCAAAGACAGTGTTCTAACTACCCGTACCACAACTTTCCCAGATGAGAGTGAATTTTGCAGGTAAAAAAATAGTTATCATAAAAGCTATGAAGGTTCTATCCTAGTTCTCTGGTTTTGCTAAAATATTACACACCAAAATAAAATGTACATCTCTTTGACTCAAACTAATAAAGTATATACACTATGGTATGGAAAAAGAGTGGAAAGCTGTACTGTGCTAGCCAACACAGGTGCATGGAAGTTAAGAGGTCCATGTATAAAAGCTAATCTGTATTTTTATATATACATTTTACCCTAACTTCTTAGCATAAAATAGAAAAAGGTAGTAGGGAGGCCAAAAGGAATTTACTATATATTGTGGGCCAGTTACAAGCCAAACATGGACCCTGCAAGTGGAGACTGAAGAGAGCTGGTTTAGCAGTTAAGAGCACATACTGCTGTTCCAGAGGACCAGAGTTTAGTCCCTAGCACCCATGTCAGGAGGCTCACAAGTGCCTGTATTGCCAGCTCCATCTGACACCTCTGGCCTCCATAGGCATATGCACTCATGCATATAACCCCTCCAGACACATTATAAAAAATAAATCTTTTAAAGGACACTGCAAACAACCTATGAGTCCTTACCATCATTTCTCTGGAGTTGTTTAACTATCAATATTAATATTCATCTGTCCTATTGCTAGGTTTTACTTATCTGAGATACAATAAAATCAGATAAAAGTAAACAACCAAAGATTTGATAAGCCAGAATGCTGGCGTACAAGAGAAAAACCACACAAACAAAAACGTGATGAGTGACAGTTGCTAAATCATTACATTTATCCATGTGTGCTCTGAAATATTTTGTACAACCATCACTTCCTTTGTCCAAAGATCCAAAGTGTTGCTACTAGGCTGCTCTCCAGAAAGAAGCACACCACCATTTTCATCAACTTTGGCTCCTTTTTATTCAGGAAGCATACACTAACTCTTATTTTTATACATTTTTACATTCCAGAAATAAGTGAAAATAGCAGTTTTAAGTATGTTACAAAGTTGGCTTTGGGGAGCAATAAGCTTTCTGAGAGAGGGACCAGCCAACTAACCTTTTCATCAAAGCACCAATGTATCTTCAGTCTTTTACCAGGCTCTACCACAGCTGTGGTTGCCTTGGATGTGGTGCACAGACTGTGTGAAAGCTACAATGGAGAGTTGCTCTGAGTCTCTCTGCAAGGCACCAAGAACAAACAGTTCAAGCTTCCTTTCTTCTGATTGAATCAAGGCTTTTTGGGAACTTTTTGACATCTCTCTCAAGTAATGCTCTCTCAGCATGAAGACTAGGATTTGTTAAAAGTCATATATCACAAGATACAGTAAATCACTTCTAATATCCTGGAAATTACAGGGTAGAAGTTATAAATAAACACACGCTAAAATTACTTTTAAGAAAGTTTTACATCATTTAGTTGGTAAGGAATTTACATGTACAGCACAATTTATTGTTAAATGTTCTATAACTGGCTTCACACAAAGATGAAAATTGGTAATACAAAATGACCTGACATTTGAAGTAAATCTGGAATTAGCTGTAATTTAATTAAGAGTCAGCATTGACTTTATATATTGTCGCAGATTGCTGTGCTATGCCCTTTATAATGTGAATTATTTTCCTCAGGATGAAATTGCACTTAGATGGGTGTTTTTGCTTATACAAACTACTAAAATCTGAGGTACAGAGCATTATGAAAGACACAAACAGTAACTGCACAATTCATCTGCTGGGTTAAGTTAATACAAGTGGACAGAATTCTCCAGGCTCCAATACCTAATAAAGCACTATATGAAATGAATAAGGTGAAACATCTTAAGAATGAATACTCTTCAACCAGAGTATGTAGCTTTTTTTTTTATTTGTAGATCTGCCTCACGTGGCATTTACAAGATAACTTAGTAAACTCTTAATTTGCTTGGGGCATGACAAGCTCATAATGTCCCACTTGTCCTTCCTGTTTGAGTTGATCTAGTAGGTCTTCCTTCCGCCGTTTTCTACCCACCACCAGGTACCTATCATGGCCCACCCCATGAGACTTACTCTTCAGGCCATACTTCTGAGCAATCTGATGTATTTGCTTCCGCTCATCATTGGTCAGCTCTGTGGAGAAGGTCAAATCTGAGTGGCTCTCAGAGCGGGCATAGTTTCTGATGATCTGTTCTATATCTCTCTTAGCAATTTTATTGACCCTCTCTACATCTAGTCCAAGTCCTTCTCGTTTATGCTGCTCTTTGACTGAGATAGGCTCCCGTATGCCCTCACCAGATTTACCTAAACCACCACCTGTCCAACCCATCTTTCTCAGCAGTTGATTTCCTATGTTATCTTCTTTGATTTTCTGTTTGTAAGCTTCTTCTGCTGAGCGACCCTGAATTTCATTTCTTGAAATCACATCTTCAACAGTCCCTTTCTTCAGGTTGTTAATGACAGTTGGCTGGGTCTTTTTGAGGGTTTTCACGGCTTCTCCAGCAGCTTCATATTTGACACTTTTCTTCACCCCAACTGCTTCTGCAATGACTTCGCTTTCTAGAATCACCTTGCATTTCCAGCGGAGTCCTGTCATCCTTTCATAGACGTATTCAACTGTCATTCGGTTGAACTGAGCTGTATCATTCAATGTACACACAGGATTGGAAGAATTCTCGTAAACTACAAGATCTTTTATATCTTTCTTCTTTCCAGATCCTCTAGGTGAAGAGCCTGAGTTGCCCTGGGAACTTTTGACAGATGGGTAGGTGGGTTGTGTTTTTTGAAGAACCTTCAAAGCCTCGTCAGCAGCTGCATGTTTGCTTGTTTTCTTGGTTCCAAAACCTTCAGCTAAGCAGTGATCTTGTAGGAATACTCGACACCGCCATGTACGATTTGGCATCATCTCGTACTTGTACTCAATTGACATTTTGTTGAATGAGGCAGAATTGTTAAGGATGCCAATTGAATCATTTGCATTTTCAGTAATGACAAAATTGGTCCAGTGTTTGGCAGAACTATTAAAAATAGGCTGCCCTGAAGCATCCTTTCCCAGTACTACGAGGTCTTCTGGTGGCTTCAGAGCTGGGGGAAATTCATATGAAAGCATACCAATCTGACATACTACAAGGTCCTCTCCAATTATGTGCTTGAATTTCCGCCGGACAACTCTAACCTCAATCCGCTTCTGTAAGAGTTTTATGGCTAGCTCAGTAGCTCGATCCCTGGACCCGTTCTTGCTCCCTGCATAACCAGTAGTTAGATAGATATTTTGGCATCTAACTTCACAAGCATAACCATCTGTGAGAAGTTTTTTATTTTTGGGGATATCAGCAGGAGGAATTTCTTTTAAAGGAGCATATATGTACTCAGGATTTGTCTTACATGCCTGAATACAACGAGTCAGCATGTAGGTATAATTAATTTTATCAGATCCAGAAGTCATCTCTGGATTAGAAAGGTTCTTCCAGATAGTTGCTGTTAACTTTTCAATAAAATACTGTTTCTCAGCAACCACCGACTCAGGAAACATCTGTGAAGGAGAAGGCTCTGCAGGTGGCTGACAGTTTGCCTGTTGGGATGTGCTGCTTGGGGCAGGGTTCCCACTGTCAAAATACATGTTGGTTGTTATAGGCTGCGCTTTTGTGAAAATAAATCCTGATGAATTACAATACTGAGAATTCCCATCTTGTATATTGAAAGAGTCTTGAGTATAATCTTGGTAGAAGTTTCTTGGCATGCTGACAAAATGTGTTCGTCCATTTACCTCTTTTGTTTGAGGGCCATAAGGATCTTCCTGTCTTTCAGCTTTTGAACTACTAGCTACAAAATGTACAGGCTCAAAACGAGGTCTCACATGGAATTTGGAACCAGCTTGCTTTTTAGGAGGATTTTGACCTATAGAATGAGTGAAATTTACAATTCATTAAAATGGGAATATTTCAAAAGAACCAAGCAGGAAAATAGTACCAACTGTATTATCTGAAAGCCACACTGTTGGTACAAGATCTGTCCCAGTCACTTGGGTGAAGGGATTCATATCACCCTAAGACTCTACCACAAGGGGCGACGCTTCCTCTCTCTCCACGCATAAGGAAAGACTCTTAATAGGAAATAGTTCATCCAATCAAGTATGCAGGCTGCTGCCATGCCTGACTAGGAGATGAAATTACAACAAGTGAGCTAAAGCACAAGTGACATGACCTCTTCACCTGTACCGGAAGGATGTGCTAGGACAATCTCTTACCACCTGTGTTCAAAGGTTCCTGGAAGAACTCTAGATGACTCTAATGAAACAGAAATGATGGATGACCAGATGCACTTACTAAACCTTTCTCTTTTGTATCAGAGGTGAGTGACTATGGTAGTGCTTTACATAGTTATAACTATAGTATCAAAAATAAACAGTTTTCAACCAAAACCTTGGTTCTGAATTGTCCTGCACAAAAAGGCTGCTACCTTTACTTCTAGAACAGATAACAACTGGAACTAATGATTAACAGGGGGACACCACTTCCCTATAGCACTCGTCAGTAGAAATCTGGTCCATCTGGACCTATCCAAGAATATCTAATTATTCAGATGCTCAGATGATCTCAGAATGAAACTCTTCTATTTAGAGGAAGATTCCATGGCATAGACTTCAAGGATAGCATTATAGTGGGACTTCTGTACTTTCAGTTCTTTTTGGCATACTCAAAAAAGTGTATGTTAGTTAGAAATCATTTATCTGCGGCAGGCATGGAGGAATACACCTTTAATCCCAGCACTTGGGAGGCAGAGGGAGGTAGGTATCTGTCAACTGTAGGCCACCCTAGTCTACCGAGTGGGTTCCAGGACAGCCAGGGCTACACAGAAAGGCTCTGTCTCAAAACCAAAATCAAAAAAATCATTTGTTTTTGCATAGAATCCAATGCTACCAGTGTCATTTGAAGCCACACACCACACTCATATCATTTTAAGAAGCCACATTTCTTCAAATCCCACCTCCCAGAAACAAGTTATACTCACCATCGTAGGCTGAAAGGTAGCGTTTTTGGCCTTTGGAAGGTTTGGGCAGCATCAAATCATATGATGGCATCTCCCCAATGTCAATACCTTCAGCCATCTGAAGAATTTTTTCCATCAAGCGTGGGCTGTATCTATAAATTAATATAATATACAATTAAAATAGGCATGGATATACTTTTTATAAATGTCCTAAATGAGAGAGTCTTTTATCATTGCTCCCACAGGACTTATCAGCAGGGTATTTTGTTAAACAAAGAATCAGACCTAAAATATTTACCTATAGAATGAGGAGTTAAGTTACTCATTAGGCATCAAGAGCAAGGTTTTCTCCATAAAATATACAAATATAGGTGCTGAAGAGAGAGTTAATCAGTTAAGAGCACTGGATGCTCTTCCAGAGGACCCAGGTTTGATTCCCAGCACACACATGGCTGTTTACAACTGTCTATAATTCCTGTTTCAGAGTATAAAATGGAACACTCTCTTCTGGCCTCTATGCACAACAGGCATGCGTATTGTGCACAGACATGTATGTGGGCAAAAAAAACCCTCAGCCACATACATAAAAATAAATATTTTTAAAGACATACAGATTTAATTTCTAGCCCAAACCTCATTTTTAACATGATTTGAAAATTTAAGTATACACTCATGATTTTTCTCTTTCATATATGTATTAGATGTAAACAATTAACATTTATATGTTTACAAAAATACTGAGTGTTAAAGACAGCTGGGTTGCTAAAATCCAAATTATAGTTGCTATCATCTCTCATGAAAAGGAATCATGTTCCTCAGAGAAATGCATCCAAGTCTGGAGCATGAAATGTCTAAGAAAAGCCTGGGAGATCTTCGGCCTACATACAAAGAAACAGTCAAAGGTTATAGCAGTTGTGCCAAGTGGACTCAGAAGCCAATCAGAACAAACTCCTGGCAAAGCATGAGCCAATTTGAGTATCAATAATAAGAACAGGTAGCATGAGTTAAAATGTATCAAATATGTTTAAAATCTATTAGTTCATCATACTTACAAACCCATTATTTGTACCCACAAACCTTTGGTGACAGAATCAACTCATTAGTCTCTCAACAAGTCAATATTAAAGGGAGAAAGCAAGTATTTGTCCTGTATTTTCCTGTTCAAATTATCTCAAAACCACCGAAGTATTGCCAAAGACAATCTCTTTTAAAGATGTAGTTTTAGTTGTGTATACTCATGGGGGAAGGGTGCACACAAGAATGCAGGTGCCACAGGAGGTGAGAGGCATCAGATCTTTTAAAACCAGAATTACAGCTTCGAGCTGCCTGATGTGTGTGACAGGAATGAAACTCCACTCCTCTTAAGAACACAATCTCTTCAGCCCCAAGAAAATCATTTACAAAAACATTAGATCTAGTTAAGGAAAAAATGATAAACACAAGAAGTCTACTGGTGAGGTGTAGACAGGGAAGAAGCTAGAAATGAACTCACATAAATAATTCAAATCTGGTAGTTGACAAAGGCACAAACCCCACAGAGGAAGAATCTCTGCAACAATCAGCACCTATATGTAAAAACCAGGAAGATAAACCTAACCCTCACTTTACAAAAGCATCAAGTGTAAAACCTTCAGGTTCTAGGCTATGCAAGCAGTTCTTAGAACTGACACTAGAAGCATGATCTATAAAAGGAAACAGTGTGGGCTGGAGAGATGGCTCAGCAGTTAAGAGCACTTGTAGTTCTTATAGAGGACCCAGGTTCAATTCATAGCACCCATAACTTCAGAGCCAGTTCACAACCATCCATAACTTCAGAACTTCCAGGATGCACATGATACAGACATACAGGCAAGCTAAACAAGCATACACAGAAGATAAGTAAATCTTTCAAAGGGAAAACAATGGTAAAAAGGACCTAATCACAATTAAAGCCGTGTCCTCTTTAAAAGACTCTACAAAAAAAGACAAACTACCGACTGGGAGAAAATGTTTGTGTACCATGTAGTTGACAAGAACTTGTTAGCTCCAAACCCAAGAGGAACAAAATCAAACTTTCAAAGAACAAGAAGAGCTGGGGAGATGGCTCAGTGGGTAAAAGAATACTTGCTGAGCCGGGCGTTGGTGGTACACGCCTTTAATCCCAGCACTCGGGAGGCAGAGGCAGGCAGATCTAGGCCAGCCTAGTCTCCAGAGCGAGTGCCAGGATAGGCTCCAAAGCTACCAGAGAAACCCTGTCTCGAACCCCCCCCCCAAATAGAATACTCTTTGTATAAACAAATAGGAGGCCCCACATTCAAATCCCCAACAACTATGTATAGACAGATTGCAAAGGAACACACAGAAGGATGTTTAATACCACTATGCACCAGGGAAATGCAACTGAAAGACATCACTAACCTATAAAAATAGCCAAAATAAAACAGAGATGACACCAAATGCTGACAAGAATGCCGAGAAACTGAATCTCTCAGACATTGCTGGTGGGACTATAAAATGATACAGTTACTCTAGAAAACAATTTGGCAGTTTCTAAGAAAACTAAACATTATCACATGACCTAGCAACTGCACTTTAGGGCATTTATCCCAAAGAAACGAAAACTTAATGTTCATATAAAAATTTGTATATGAATACTCATAACAGCTTAGGCCTAACTATAATCTGCCCAGATATCTTTCAAAAGGTGATACTAGTTAATACTCTGGTACAAAACCACTAGGAAAACTACATAGCAACAGAAAGAAACAAACCACAGATACAGGTCATAGTGAGTATATGTGGGGGTGCTCATTATTTTAAAAGAACAATAGGCAGGATCTTTGTGGTATTAGGAATATTAAAGATCTTCTTTAAAACGTATTACAAACTAGGTGGTGGTGGTGCATGCCTTTAATCCCAGCACTCAGGAGGCAGAGGCAGGCGGATCTCTGTGACTTGGAGACCAGTCTGGTTTACAAGGCTAGTTCCAGGACAGCCTCCAAAGCCACAAAGAAACCCTGTCTCAAAAACAAACAAACAAACAAACCAAAACCAAACCAAAACAAAAAACATATTACAATTGTGTATGACTGCACACACCATGCTACCTGGCACATGTGGTGGTCTGAGAACAACTCTGCAGTCATTCTCTCCTTCCGCTTTCATGTGGGTTCCAGATCTCAAACTTAGGTTGTGAGGCTTATACAGCAAATACCTTTACCCACTGATCCATCTCACCTGCCCAGAAATATTAAATATATTGACTATAGTGATGGATTTAAAAAACTGCAGTTTTGGGGTGCTACTCAGTGATGGAATGCTTGTCTAGCATGCATGAGGATCTAGGTTCCATCCTCAGTACCACAAGCAAAAAGAAAAAAACTATACATAATGAAATACAAACATACAAGTAAAACTACAATGACTACTTTGCTCAGCATTGATACAGGGGGAAGGGGCTTGGTCCTGCCTTAACTTGGTAGGCCAGGCTTTGTTGACTCCCCCATAGGAGGCCTTACCTCTTCTGAGGAGTGGATGGAGGGGGTGAGATGGGGGTAGGGAGGGACAGGAGAAGGGGAGGAAGGGGGAACGGGGATTGGTATGTAAAGTGGAAAAAATGTTTTTTTTTTTCTAAATAAAAAACCAACTTCAAAAAAAATGAAATATAAACATACACATAAAACTAGAGAACTCTGAGTAAGATCTGTTGGTGATGACAATGTCATTATCCTCACTGTGGTATTTTATTATCACTGAGGGAAACTGATAGAGTACTAGTGAGCTGTGCTTGCTTTATTACATTAGTTCTTGTGCCTGGAGGGGCTGCATATGGGCTGCTTTGTGCATATGGAGGTCAGAGGACCACTTGTAGGAACTGGTTCTTTCCTTCCACCATGTGAGTCCTGGGGACCAAACTCAGATTGTCAGGCTTAGTGGCAAATGCCTAAGGCATCTCACCAACCTTGTCCCTTTCTTGTCATTGCTTTCTCCCACCCACCCCATCTTTCTGTTTTGAGACAGACAGTCGCAATATACAACTCATACGTGCCTCAGGCTAGCCTCCCATCATCACAGCCTTCTGAATGCTGGTATAGGTGTGCCCACAACAGGCTTCTTGATAACACAATTTTATTGCATGGCAATTAAGAAATGAGCTCAAGCAAAGTTCTCTTAGCAAGAACACCTGCTTACCCTTCCTATTTTCAGAGCCTTTCTTGGCCTAACTGGTACTATTTGGGAAGAACGTCCTGAAACTGAGTAACTAGCACAGCTTTTCATGAATACTTGTGAAGTTAAAGATTAACATCTTTCACTTTCAGTGCAGTAGGCTACATATCCATCATATGGCTTTCCTTGTAAAGCACAAATCAAAACCTAATAGTCTTCATTGACAGATTATGGGAAGCTAGCTGCTATAACCTACACTTCTTACAGATAGACAACTGCTATCACAGTACTTCAATACCAAGAGTAATTATGTTTTTATTTACTCTCTCATCTGAGCATCAGAAAAGATATTTTAAAGCATCGTAAGTCTACACATCACTTCCTTTCAGATGTGCAGTCCAATTTCTAAAGCATGGGATGAAAACAAAAAGACTGTAAATCAGGTGACACAACTTTTAAAAATTATGTTATGTAAACGAGTGTTTTGCCCACATTTATGTCTGTGTACCATGACATATATGCCTGGTGACCTTGAAGACCAGAGAAGGTGTCCAATGCCCTGGAACTGCAGTTACAGATAGTTTTGAGAAGCCATATGGATGCTAGAAATTGAATCCAGGTCCTCCAAAAGAGCAGACAGTGCTCTTAACCACACTAATCCATCTCCCCAGTCGAAAGGCCACAGCTTTTAAAACCCACTAATCTCACACTTGCAAAAATTGGTGGTACAACCAAGCCACTCGCCTTGGGTCCAGTCAAAATTCTCTAGCCCTTCAATCAGAGCCTGACTCTGAATATGCAGTATAACTGAAAATGGTACAGATGCCATATGATGCACATGAAGAATATACCTAGGGCTCCCTCTATTCACATTCACTGTCTTTCAAGTTTCTTCCAGCTCCAGTAATTATTGTACCTACTTATTGCTCCCTACTCATTACAATTGCTACAGAATTCACCATCTCGACGAGGCTATAAAAATAAACCCTTGCGTAGGTTGCCAACA